GCAGACGTTGGTGCCGCCGCGAGCTGCCACACCCCAGGTGAAGGTCCAACCGTTGCAGTGGAACATGGGAAGGGACCACAAGTAGACAGGCTCCGGCCCCATCCCCCATCCAATGATCATGCTGATTGTGCTGAGGTAGGCGCCACGATGGCTATACACCGCACCCTTAGGCTCGGACGACGTGGTCCCCGACGTGTAGTTGAGGGCGATTGGGTCCCACTCATCCGACACCTCCTCGGGGCCATAGGACGGGTCGCCGCGGCAGATGAGGTCCTCATACTCGAAGGAACCGAGGCGAGCACCCGTCGGCGAGAGCACGTCGTCGACGACCACCACCATTGGCATGGTGGCGTTGCCGTCCGCTAGAAGGCGGAGAGCGTCGCGAGCCACGAGGATATATTGGTGGTCGATAAAGAAAATCTTGGCTTCCGAGTGACGGAGGATGGTGGCTATGCTGCGGGCGTCAAGCCTCGTGTTGATGGCGTTGAGGACGGCTGTCGCCATGGGCACCGCGAAATGCATCTCATATAGGGCCGGGATGTTCGGCGCCAACACCGACACCTAGGATCCACCAGTCGAAAAAAAAGCTTGCTTTAAATTTTTATTGTCACAACATTTTGAGTTATATAATTTGAACTAATTATTTAATTAAAAAAAATCGTTTAATGACATAAAAAAAATAATATTAGCTAAATCAATTTAGAATAAAAATAAAAATAAAGCCCAAAGATAATTATGCTACTCACCACGTCATTCTTGGCGATGTTGAGGGACTTGAGGGCGGAGGCGAGGCGGCAGCACCTCTCGTAAGTCTGCCGCCAAGTGAATGAGAGGCGGCCATAGATTATGGACTTACGCTCAGAGTAAACCACGGCGGCCCTCTTCAAGAATGTCAGGGGAGTCAGGGCCACGTGGTTTGCTTCACATTTGGGCAATTCATCCATTCTAATTTATCTTAGGTTGATCTTAATTATAAGGTTTTAGGCAAGTATATGTATTTAGTCTGGCTATTTTTGGTTTGCAAGGTGGACACATATATATATAAGCGGATGACTACAACACTAACAAAGACGTGATGGAAGTTCACATGGAATTTACACCATGCATTTATTAAAATCATAAATTTTCGGCCAAAACTTTGACTTTAATAATAAATAACTTATCGGCCAATTGAATGATAGATAGTTTTTAAATATTTGTCTCTTTCTTAAATAAATAATATTAAAAAAAAAATGTGGATGGAGAATATTTTTTTTAGAATTTTCTTTTTTTTGTTTTTATTCTAATTGACAATTTTAGTTAGATAAATCTTAATATAACGACTAAGAATAAGCCAGGGCAGGATGGTTCGATATTTACAAATCTCCAGAACCATACTGAATAGGAGATCGTAAAAATAATTTGATCTCCAGAATTAAAAAATAAAAATAAAAAATTAAGACTATTTGATCAAAGATCGTTATATTTTTTGATTGCACTTGGGGTAAGAGATTTTGAGGCTATTGGGTAGTTATCAGTAATGTAACACCCCGCTATTTCATGAAAATCAGAGTACGCGTTTTAGCAAAATTTTTCTAAATAAAAACATTTAATTTGCGAAATACTGATTCGGAGTGTTACCGTAAAAACATGACTTGTCTTGAAAACCGTTATTTAAAGAAAATAAAACGGTTTAGCGTAATATAAACACCGATTAAAGCCGGATCAAAAACTGGTTGAAAAACTGAACAGTAGCGGAATCACAGTGTAGCCAAAACATGATTATACACATGTATACAAATGTCCTGAACCGGTCGCCCGCTCACTCCTCGGCTCCGACTCTGTGACCTGAAAAACATGAATAATGTGGGGGCGTGAGCACTAATCCACTATGCTCCGCAGAAACTCATACTGAAGTAAACAGTGAAAATAATAACAATATCATGATCCTGACATATATAACTGAACTGATACTGAAACTGATAACTGATACTAATACCGGTACTGAATAATCTGATACTGATCTCGTGATAAACATCACCTGACTGATAACTGAACATCTGCCAGCATAAGCCGGACACCATGTGCACACTCTAGTGGGCAGATTAAGGCCACTAGAACCCAGAATGGACCGGCGACCATTCCGAGCGGATACTGATAATACATACCTCAAACATGGTAGTGTAATTATAATCAATGTAGTACTTAGTCTGAGTCCCCACCTGAACTGCTGATCTGAAAATGTAAGTGCTCATAGCCTGCAAAACTGACATATATAAACAAATACTAAGTATTATGCTCAGACTGATTAAAATAGCTGTTAAGATGCTCGAATCGATCTGAATAGTTATCTGGAACCATCTCAGGGTCTAACTTAATTGATAAGAGAAATTGGACTGAACTGGTACTGCTAAACTGAACTGAACTGACTAACTGACTAGACTGAAAATACTGAACTGATATGAATTTACTGAACTGAGCCGGACCCGAAATTTAACTGAAA